AATACAGAATAATGTCAAGAGAGAAACCTACCAGTTCCAGCAAGGGAGGATCTGAAAAGGCATTCTGAGGCATAACTTCCTTTGAAGGAAGTTAGGGAGTCTGTGTTTTGGGCCTTCTTTGTGTCCCCTGTACTGACACATAATAAGCACTTAATAAATAGTTGTTGACTGACTAAGAGACAGAGGTGAAGAAGGAATGCCTTCTAGACAGAGGAGATTACCTGTACGAAGGAAATCACCTGTACAAAAGCATGAGTGTGCAAGCTGGACTACTTGATACAGGGAATCATAGTCAGCAAGCTAGTTTGATTAGAACAGAATGTTCACTGGGTAATAGGAAGTAAGACTAGAGAGGTAGGTAGACTTCAAGTGTCAGGCTGAGGATTTTATATTTTATCCTAGAGACAATAGGGAGCCATGGAAGATTTAGGAGCAGTGGAGTGACCTGATCATATCTCTGAGTTAGGAATGTCAGTTTGGTAGCCGCGTGAAAGCTGGATTGGAGAGGGAAGGGACTTGAAGGAGAGGGGCCAATTAGTCCTTTAAGCTCTAATTACTTTTGAACTTCATATTCTACATGTAAGAAACAGTTATTATGAAAGGTTGTGTTGATCAAATCTTCCTCAGTTGCAAAATAGTTGTTGCCCAGAGGATCCTACCCCATCCCCCTTTCTTTTTAGTGGAAAATTACCTAGTTGTGCTTTCGTGACTCAACATTCTTGCTTTCAAGCATGTGGGGAATTAATTTTCCCCTTCCCCCTAAGGGGTACTTGGTTTGCAAGGGTTTCTGACATTGTTGATTTCCACTGAACTACACTGACCTTTATCTGTGCAAACTAGTTAAAACCTGCTCTACCCCAAGCCACCCCCTCCCATCTCCTCTTTTCCCCTCCCACTCTTCTATTATGTATGTGTGTATATGCATATGTATATGTATATGTATATATATGTGTATATGTATATACACACACACACACATATATATATAATCTTTTTATATAATGTATATGTGTGTGTATGTTGCATTTTATGGCTTGCCACAGTAGACTACATCTTTACCATCACAGAATTGATTAGAAGATGTAGAGAATAAAAGATCCTATGTGTGTTGACTGTAAAAAAGTGTTTGATTCATGAGAACAAACCACCCTAAAGGCTTCTTTAAGGAGCTCTCCAATTCATTCACCAAAAGTATCCCAAATCCTAGAAAGATATGCCCACTGAGATAACTTTATTAGATGAACTTTTCATCATAAACATCAGGAGACGTATGAAGTAGAGGCATGCTTACCAACGAATTTTGCCGCTGTCGTGAAGCAAGTCTGCTGCAAAGTCCAAGGTGAAGAAGTAATTCCTCATGGTGGATGGTAAGTTCTTTCCAGAAGCTATTCTTTGTAGGTGACATTATTCATCAAGCTGTGAAACACTGAGGAACCTCCTGGAAGAGATTTGTAAGCATTCGAGAGATTTTGGCTTAACCATCCACATAGGAAAAAAATCAAGTGGATGAAAACTAGATATTGCTCAGGCCATGACATGAACTTAGATGAATGACCTATCAAGAATTTGTCCATTAGAACTTGGGACTGATAGTAACAGATGGATAATGAGCTGACCCCAGGAAGAGGAAAACAATCTGGAGTGCCTTTAGAAAATTGTAAAGCTCTTTGAAATAGCTATCCCAATAAGGAAATAGAGCATAATGTGGAGAGAAGCTGTTTAGTCTTTCATCAGGAGGGTATGCTGTGGAATTGAAGATGCCAAGATCATCCTACCTTCGTTCGTAGGTGGATAGTCTGAGTGTTAGGAAAGGCTACCGGTAGGTAGCCTCATGAGGTCAGCAGACAGAAAGCAAGACAAGCGGCACATTGGGGGAACTCACAGTGTGAACTTGGGGGAGGACATGGTCAAGAATTGACCAGGAGGATCTGCTTTGGGATCTCCATCTACCTGGGTGCACATATTTTGTATTTACTCATCTATGGATCTGTTGCTTCCTCCCTCAAGGTCCCATCCCAGTGGAAGGTCAGCTTCTTATGGGAAAAGACCATTTTTTGTCTTTCTCACGGGATCCTCAGCCCCTCACTGCCTGCCTGCCTTGTAATAATCACTTTATCAGTTGAGTTTCTCACATCTCACAATTCAGAAGTAAGAGCCAGAGAGAGCAAATGCTTCAGAGCAAAATCATCTGGTCTAACCCTCTCGTCTTAGAAAAATGGGACCCAGAGGGGCTGGGACAGTGACGTGCTCAGGGGCTTTCAGCTAGGAAGTAAGCCAACCCTGTCAATCGAATATCCTGGCTCCCAGGTCGATGAGTGACCCTGTGGCAAAAGCCTTCTTCTTTGCTGTCGCTGTCCCAGGAGCACCACTTTCTGTTCGCCCTTGGTAAATTTTCTGTCTTTCTAAACTCCATTGCTGCTGTTTGCCAGAGGGACTGTCTCTGCAAAAAACACCAACCAGATCTTCAGCAGAAAAAGTGCTGCTGATGTTGGAAATAGCTAAACGGAGCAGCCATCTCAAGAGGCTCAAGCCTCAAGGCTCAAGCATTCAGGCCAAGCCATAACATAAGTGTGAGAGAACAGCCCTCCAGTCTGTGGGAGGGAAGGCAGAGTGATGGATAAACTCAACTGGAAACTTCCCTAGGGAAACACCCCTTTGTCTCCACCAGCTGTTTCCCCACCTTTCTGTGGCCGAGGGCCACTAACATAGAAGAATACATCAGAAGCAACAAAGAAGTAAAAAAACAGCAACAACAATTTAATTCAATTATGGCGTACTTTTTAAGGGAAAGATTGACAATGAGAAGGAAGGCAGCGTGGTGTATTTCAAGTTGGAACACCTGGGTTTGAAACTTGGCTCTGCTCTTATTACCTGTGTGACATCTGGCCAGCTGCTTCCATCTCCTGGCTTCAAGATCCTCCTCTTTGCCATGAGGGTGTGGGATTCGGTCATCTCTAAGGCCTTCCTGCAGCACCAAGTCCTATGATACTATGAAAAGATTAAACTGGATGCAGTTTTTAAATTAAGAACGAGAAGACTTGATTGAATAAATTCAGCAACTGTATCAAAGTATATTTTAATCATGGATTGAGGATAATGAGGGAAAGTGGAAGGAAAGACAAGTGGGAAGTGTAATGTAGAAGGGTCTCAAGGATCATTTTGTTAGAAGAGAAGGAAGAAGAAGACCAGCAGAGGAGTGAGGAGAGAGACAAATACACAGGGGGAGAATGGGCAGGACAAATAAGGATAAAATGCTCTTCTCTTCCAAACCTTCTCCTTTCTCCTCATTCCCCTTACGTCATCCCTTCTATATTCCCTCTCTCCCAGTAGATGACCTTCACCCCCTACTTTACCAACGATATCAAAGCCATCTGTTGTGAGCTCCCTCATCTTCCTTTCTGAATGCTTAAAACTCTTCCACAGCTTTGCCTTCCCCATCCACCTTTGCTCCAGGCTCTGGGGAGAAGGGGCACTTGTGTAGGTGAACCCCTCTATTTGTTCTTGATCCCTTGTCTTCAATCATTCCTTCCTTTTCAAAGACAATGATGATGGTGATGATGATGATGATGGCTCCTGACTGCAAAGGGAACAAAGCTGGAAGTAGGAGAGCCTTCCATTGGTCCATGGGGTCACCAAAATGCTATGCTCATTCCAACCCCAACGGTTTTGCTCATGCTGTTTCTCTTACCTGAAATCACCTCGCCACTCTTCTCTGCCTCTGAATTCCCTCATCCTTCAAGGACCAGCATTAAGCCCCTTCCTCCAGGAGGACATCTCATCAAATGTAGCCCACACCAAAGCCCCAGAGCACTTAAGAGCCTGGAAAACAAAAGTCTAGTATTTGGTTCTGGTGCCATCAGATATTGATCTTGGGGAGTTTCATACCTCTCCAACTAGATTGGAAGTTCTTCATTAGGAAGGGGCAGAGTGTGGGGGCAGTAGGAAGAGGGCTGAATTTGGAATTAGAGACACTGAGATTAGGACCCCTCGGTTCTGGTCTGCACTCTGTGTTGATTCTGCTTGATGACCGCTGTGCTCCCCTCAGTCTCTAAGTCAAAGGCCCTATGACTTCATCTTCTGTTTGTCCCTTAGCCCCATGGCATCTCTCCCAGGGCTGGGCTGAGAGCTCTTCAGTGTGTTAACAATCTGTATTCTCATCAGTGGCAGCACCTTCTTCATTGTCACAGCTAGGAAACTCTTCACGCTGGTAGACAGCCTTTATGAATCACTGTGTAGTGTGGTATAGCAGCTAAAGAGCAATTCAGAAGCAGGAAGACCTGGGTTCAAGTCCCATCTGATATATACCAGCTGTGTGACAAGTGGGCAAGTCATTCTTCGCTCTGTACAGAGAGGAAACTCATGGAAGGAGACACCTATTGTGTGTGTGGAAAGGCTATCCTGTGTAGTATAGTGGATAGATAGCTGTCCTCACAGCCAGGAAGATCCCAGTTCACATCCTGCCTCTGACATCTACTGGCTACACGACCCTGTGCCAGCCATTCAGCGTGTCAGTGCTCTAACAGCTCTCTAGGACAAGAGGTTGTAGGGAAGATGATGACCTGCATTGAGGGAGGAGCTTCCTCATGTGGGAGTCCCCTGTACTAGTAATAACATAGGGCCAATCTCCGGGTCTCAGTGCTTGCACTCCCTAAACTACCGGCTTGTAGGCAAGCACTGTGGAAACCTCAAAAGTACCAAAGAAATGGGAGTTGTTCAGCTGAACGCAGGCTACGTAGCACTCATTGGTCAACTTTCTGGTGCAGAGCTTCACTGAACTGGGGTAGACTGGTCCTCTTAGATGAGACCCACAGACCGCCAGTGAAAGGCTGTCCAGCTTGGTAGGATCTGTCAGAGCTTATCGTAGACTGGTGGAATTGTTGGTGATTTAGTCATCTCTTTACCACGATGACACGTGAGAATAGCTTAGAGGAGGAGGCTTCCAAAGGACCTCAGTCAGGATTTCCCAGGAGCCCACTCATTCTGTCTGTCCTCTCTTTCAGACATCTCCCAGATGACCCGAATATACAGTGGAACACAGAGCTCATGGCTACCCTTCTCCTAAGGCACATCAAGGCCAACCGCATTGATCTGGTAATGTAACCCTGGCTGACAAAGCCCAGGGACTCAGTTTATCCTACTGTTCACCCACACAGGGTTTGTATTGAATCCTGGATCCCTGAACTTGGAGCCAGCAGACCTGGGTTTGAATCCTGGCCCTGCCACTCATGTGCTCCAAAGCTTTCTTGGAGCCTCAGTTCCTTCGTCTGTAAAATGGGGATAATCCTATTGATACCCCTGCCTCCCAGGGTTGTTGGGAGAGGAAGGTGCTTTGTACATCGTAAACCACTAGCAGAGATGTTCACTTTGGTGACTTTTCATTGAAAGATGCTTCATGCTTTCATGTAGAAATTTAAGTTACCATTATCCCCTTCCACATCCACAGCTCTTAGTGGACATGATTGTAGCAGAAGGTGCGCAGACTCATTACCTTCTTCTTCAGTGGCTGCATGACCCAGGGTAATAATAGCAGGTTAATAAGGTTGTGGTAACTAACACATGTATACAATAGCCCCTCAAGACTGCCAAGCAATCTACATACACAATCTCATTTGAGCCTCACAGCAATCTGATGAGCCAAGTATCAAAGGTCGTTTTATACCCATTTTACAGATTAGAAATTCAAGACTTAGAGAGGTGAGATGACTTGCTCAGGGTGACTCAGCTAAATGTCACAGGTGAGATTTGAACTCAGATCTTTCTGACTCTCTTCATTATGCCATGCTGCTCCCCTGCTGTGTGCCCCTATCCCGTTGCCTCCAGTATCCAAATGTCTTCGGGGTTTTTCTCAAAACTAACAAGGTCAGTTTGTTAAGGCCAGATACTAATGAGTGCTACGTAGCCTGCGTTCAGCTGAACAACTCCCATTTCTTTGGTACTTTTGAGGTTTCCACAGTGCTTGCCTACAAGCCGGTAGTTTAGGGAGTGCAAGCATTTCTGTGGTCAGTGGAGAAGACAGAGGTGACCTGACTTACCCACTGCCTGACACAGTTATTAAATTTTGGAGCCAGGATTTGAACCCAAGTCTATAGACTGCAAGTCTAGCAGTCTTCTACCAATAGACTCCAGCTGCCTCCAAGATCCAGAGGAAAAAGATTGGGATTTGGGAAGTGACCCTGCCCAGTAGAGTCCAGCTCAGATCCCTTCTCCCAGTGCCTCTCCCCAAGGCAGGAGCGACTTTTGCCCTCAGATCTCACAGAGCACCTGGTTTTGTAGTGCTCTAGTGCATTTGTAATATAATATTGACTATCCTCATTATCTGTGTATTGGTGTGTCAAAGATGATGAAACTGTAAGCTCCAGAAGGGCAGGGGTTGTGTCTTATCTCCCACCCGGGGCTTTGCACAGAAAGGAATTAAGAAGTCTGCTCTCAGGGCAGTTAGGTGACGCAGTGGATACAGCACCATCCCTGAAGTCAGGAGGACCTGAGTTCAAATCCAGCCTCAGACCAAACACTTGACACTTACTAGCTGTGTGACCCTAGACAAGTCACGTAACCGCAATTGCCTAAAAATTAAACAAAAAAAAATTAAAAAAAAAAAAAGAAATCTGCTCTCTTGTTGTATGCCCAACATGGGAATCTGTAAAACCCAACACTCGCATTAGGGACAATGATTGTTTTGGGGGAGATTTGTTTGGTCTGCTCTGGAAAGATCCTACCATTGCTCAGCCTCATCTGTCTTTAGACTGGTGACCCCCTGGGCCGAGCTGTGCAAAAAGAGACACTGTGGTATAAGACGACCAGTCCTGAAACCTGAGTTCTGGTCAAGTCACTTCACTTGGTTAAGTGACTGAGACTCAGTTTCCTCATTTGTAAAATGACGAGACCAAAATGTATCCTGCACTTAATAGCATAGCTGTGAGGATTAAACGGGATTTTTTAAGGGTGCTGATGTGCTTTGCAACTGTAAAGCACTCAACACATGTGAGGTAGATGGAGAAGGGAAAGGCATCCTTAGCCAGCCTTTGAATCATGGTCCTAAGGCTTCTGGGGAAGCACCAAGTCCTTTGTCAGTGTTGAGATGGGCTGCAATCTCAGGGTACCTAAAAGGCACCACCAAAGAATCTGTCAATCCCAATTCCCTGCGGCTTTCTTACCCACGATACAAAACAGCCTATTTTCCAACAGCCCTGGAGTTTAGGAAGTCAATTAGCCTCTTCTCTAATGTGAGAGACACATTTAAATCAGCCTCCAGTTTAAGCAATTCAGACATCTAAAAGAACAGCTAGGGCCTTGGAAGTCAGCTGCCCCAAACCCACTTAATTAACCACACATTGGGTTCCTAAGCAGAGATGGCATGCCTGGGGAAACCAGCCACGTCCAATTCAGATTAGAAAATACTTTTCCTTCAGTTAAAAACGGGTGTTTCTAAGAGCCACGGACAATGGTACTCTTCCTGGACGCTGACACAGAATCCTAGGGGTTCATTCCCAAGGCGGGAATTTCTGATAATACAGTGTGATCCCTAGAAAACCTAGAAAGTCTCTTGACTCCTGGAGCTCCCATGGTAGTGCTCTCTTGCTTGTTAGGATGCCTCATGCCGGTGAAATCTCCTGTGGTTTCCCTAAGGTCACTCAGCCAGCCACTGATAGAATCTTGACTAGAATGTGTCTCTCAGCCAAAGCCCCATTCCATCAACATTAGCTTGTCTTCTTTGGCCAATATACTCCAAGCATCGAGCAGGAATCCTCAGTCTTATGAGATGATACGTGTATAACTAAAAGAGATGTTAGAGACCATCCAGTCCCATCCTCTCATTCTATAGATGAAGAAATTGAGTCACAGAGAAGTTAAGTGACTTGCTCAGGGTCACACTGCCAGTAAGGGTCTAAGGCAGGATTTGAACTCAGGCTTTCCTAACTCTAAGTCCAGCGCTACACCTGCTATTCCGCCTAACCACCTGAACCAAACCATTTTTCTGAGTTCCCAGGACATACCCGAAGCCAGCATTCCAAGTGTGTGAATGAGTTTGTTATCCATTCTAATACACATTCTATAAGTGCCTACTATGTGCTAAGCACTGGAGATATAATTAATAAAAAGACAGTCTGTGCCCTCAAGGAGCTGATGGGGTTTGCTCATAGCTTTCCTTACTGCTGTTCGGTCCTGCACCCAGGGTGATCATGTTGAATCAGGACAGGTATAATAATTGTAGCTTGCACGTATAGTGAATAAACTCTCTGGCCGCATCGTCCGCTCAGGATTCTAGGGGTATCGCTGAAGCGTTGGGTGTCTTTCTTTAATACCATCAGCTTGAGTCCCCAATCAGGGTGTGTTCCCCCCGCCCCTGTTGTTATCTCCTAGTTATTAATACCCCAGTTTCATTTAACTAATTAATATAATTTTTAAAACAAAATATTTACATTGAAGATATAACAAATACATGTATAAAAATTTCCCCCAGCACTGCAGGGGCACACTCTCTGCTATTCCACCCCAGTCTCTGGGGAGAAGAAGCTCAGACTTCATCCAGTGTTTACATCCACATGCAGCATGAAAGCTAGATGAGCCCTCTTCCCAGCACTCCCTGGTCATTGACACTGGGCTGCCTGCAAAACCAGCATGGCTGCTCTCCCAGACTCCCAGATGGGCTCGCTCTTCTGACCTTCCTTTTACCCCGCCAACTTCCTTTACCTAAAGTGAAAGAGCCAGTGGTGAGGCCCATGTTCCTGAGGCCAGATGTTGGCCCCAGATGACAAGAGGGCCAGAGACCTCTCCTCTTACATCATCACCCCTCCCCATATGGTGTAGTCTAGCACGAAGAGGTCGGATGAAAAGACAAATTAAACTAAGAAGAAGAGGTTCAAGTGAAAGAGAGCCCAGGGCCAACTAAGGACCTCTAATGGTCCCCAGTTACAGGTCTGCAGCTGCAGACCATCAAAGCAGATGCCATTCCCTATGTGCTAGAAGACCAGATCTGTTTATGGAGCGTCTACATGTGCTCGAAAGTCTTTCCAATGGATTTTCACTACTCACCATCAACACTGTCCCCAAAGGGGCTCCTTACTCTCTTCCATGTGGGACATTACATCACTTGGTGCTCTGTGAATGCTCATAGGGACTGGGCTTATTGGCCAGCCCCTCATTACACATGTATCTATCTATTAGCACTTGCTTCTTTTTCAAAACACTTAATCATTTATTACCCAAATGGCTAAAGTGATTTATCCAAGGTCACACACTGGGTTAATGGCAGAGCCAAGAGCTGAATTCATATTGTTCTAATACAGGAGATATATGAGGCTGTGCTGAGAAGGTAGCCAAGGGTGGTGAGACGTTCAATATGAATGGGAATTTCTCCCGAACATCCAATTAAAAGTATTTTCAAACATGTCTCCAGGAGGCAGGGGAGAGGTAGGGCCATGAGGTTGCATTGCAATGGTGTGGGACTCTGGAAAACAATCTTATGCTGGGCTCAGGCAGAGGTCGCTATTAGGGCAGAAGTATCTCATTGAGTCAGACCAGAAAATGTTTCTCTTAGCCCCCCAGACTGAGATGGCAGCGTGTTTGCTGCAGGGGACAAACACTGGATCTGGTGAAAAGGAACTTGGATTGGAATCCTGGCCCTACTTTTTACTACTTGCATGACCTTGAGAAATCCAATCCAGTAACCAATCTAACAAGTTTTACTTGTCTACAGATATTTGTCACAAGAGCTTTTCTTTTCTTTTCTCTTCTTTCAATGGGTGGGGGAGGTGGGAGGTAGAGAAAATAGATTCTATTTAATGGCAAAAAATTAAAAATTTTTAAACAATCAGGGAGAAATATGTTTAAAGATAACCAACCCAGCAGGCATTTATAAAGGGCTTTCTCTGTGCTAGGCACAAAGACCAAACCCAAAAAGAGTAGGCCCTCAAGGAAACTTTACTTCTACTGGGGAGATGAGGGAGAGAAAGACAGAGAAAGAGACAGAGACAGAAACAGAGGGAGACAGAGAAAGATCCAAACTGGCATAGTCCTTATCCCCTCCAACAGAACTCTGTTCTTCCAGATGATCTCAAGTAACATTCATGGGAATCTTGAACAAGGAAAAAATACGTTAAAATACAGTCTGGGTTAATATTTAAGAATAGGTAAGCAACCAACGAGCCTTCCCATTCTCTCCTTGACCATTTCCCTCACTTGTGGAAAAGGGTGGGTCTTGGAGTCAATCTGCTCCCAGTGGGTGGGGAGTCAATGATGTAAACACTGTTTACATGAACTGTAAACATATGTTACATATGAACTGTAAAATTTGTAGAAAAAGGTTGAGTGTCAGGCTTAATTCAGTTTCCCTCTGAAAAGCTTTTTTGTCCCTGACCTGTCACTCATCTTTCAAAGAACCTTTCCCAAAAATTTCAGAAAGGGCTTTAGAAAAAATATTATTTCTTAGTATTTCTAGAGAAACTAGGAAGTTTTTAATGCACTTCCATAGTTTGGACAATAGGCAGTTTTCATCCACCTGGTTTTCTTATGTGAATTGTTAGGATGAACGCTTTTGAATGGCTACAAGTCTTATTTAGAAAGCTTTTTAGTGTTCTAGGGCTTGGTCTGGCCAGCCCAAGATGATACACCAACCCAAATGATAATCCACATTAGAGAATGTTATCACCTCTAGAGAATCCCTGTTCAGGGCAGCTAGGTGGAGCAGTGGATAGAGCACCGGCCCTGGAGTCAGGAGGTCCTGAGTTCAAATCCGGCCTTAGACACATAACACTCACTAGCTGTGTGACTCTGGGCAAGTCACTTAACCCCAATTGCCTCGCTAAAAAAAAAAAATTCCTCTTCCATTGGACTCTGAGCTAGACACAGGATCATAAATTTAAATCTGGAAGAGACAGCAGAAGTCATCTAGTTTCAATCTGTCATTTTACAGAAAAGGAAACTTCTGCATAGGCTCAGTGACTTGCCCAAGGTCATTTGGATGGTGAGCAGCAAAGCCAAGATACAATCCAGGGTTGTTTCTAGCGTGTCACGTGTTCTCCCTCGGTGAGAGCGGCCAACTCTCTGGGCTGGTCCGCATCTTCCTGCGGTATTAATCATCCTGATTGTTGAATGGCCATCCCTTTTGTTACATCATCTAAGGATCTTGCAGGATTCTGATACATGCATGACAGAGGCCTTCTTGGAGGAAATCCTTGAAGTCCATTTCATTCTACTAAATCAAAGACTTTTTTAATAGTCAACAAACAACCCAGTAGGACCTAGTATTCTCTGCCCCCTGTAGCCAGTTGTGTGACTATAAGGATGTGGTCTCTTGTAGAATATCATTTGAGAAAGTCTATATTTTCCATTCTCATCAAGGAAAGGCAGTGGAGTATAGTAAGTAAAGTGCTGGACTTGGCATCAGGAAGCTCAGGGTTCAAATCCCACCTCTGACCTTACTAACCCTGAGAAGATTTATTCACATCTCTGGGCTTCAGTATCCCCCTGTGTCAAATCAGGCTAAAGACACCTGTCATTCCTTCCTCCTAGGGTAGTTGTGAAGCTCCCATCTAATTATACAGTTGTTAAGTACCTACTGTGTGCAGAGCACTGGAAATACAAAAGGGATAGCCTCAAAGAGAGAATTTCTATTGGAGAATATAGCATTCTTCATTAAGATAATGTATAGAAAGAACTCTGCGGATTTTAACTGCTATATCCATGTTGACTTAGTATAAGAAGACCCTCAAGAGAATGTGTCTTCATGCATACATGCGTGTGTGTGTGTGTGTGTGTGTGTGTGTGTGTGTGTGTGTGAGTGCCCGCAGGTGAGCATAGGAACAGAGAGGTTATTCTGGCTAGAAAGCTAGACTTGGAATCAGAAAGACCTCAGTTCAAATATGGCCTCAGCTATTTACTAGCTGTGACACCTTGAACAAATCACTTGATCTCTCAGTCTCTGTTTCTTCATCTGCAAAATTGAGATAATAATGATTAACATTTGCCTTACAGGACTGTTGAAAGCTGCATATGAGATAATTCTGTAAAGTGCTCTATAAATGCCGGGTATTATTACAAAGATCTTAAAGAGATGAAAAAATAGACGTATGGAAACATTAAGAAACAGGAGGCAAAATAGTACAATCGAGAAGGTGTCAAAGCATGGTCTGGTGATCCTGGGGTTTCCCAAGACCCTTTCAGGGGGTCTTCAACATCAAAACTATTTTCATAATAATACTAAGACTTTTTCATTTCTAATATGGTAAATATTAATAGATAAAACCAACACCAAAAAAAGCTCTTTGGGGAATCATCAATATTTTTTAAGAATGTGAAGAAATCCTGAGACCAAAAAGTTTGAGCTGCTGGCATAGCAGCTAAAGAGCCAGTCTCAAAGTTAGGAGAACCTGAGTTCAAAACTTGCCTCTGATGCATACTGGCTGTGTGGTCCTGGTTAAATCATTTAACCTCAGTACCCCAAGCAACTCTCCAGGGACTCTAAAGTGAAGGCAAGTAGTGATCTGTATTGGTGAAGAGAGTTTCCTCGCTGGGAGTTCTCTATACCAATGTAGGCACAGATGTGGTCCAAAGGAGAAAAAAAGTACAACTGTAAGAAAACACCAGGAAATATGGGCCTGTGTACATGGTGAGGCACACAGTGAACAAAGCAGAATTGGGGAAAATATACAGATGTGCATGGACGTATATGCCATGCCTACAGTTGTGTTATGAAGAATTATGATAAAGACCAGGAAAAAATCTGCAGAAAAAAAACCCAGAGATCAGAAGAGGGCATGGAAACAGGATGTTTCTGTTTGTTGTATTCTACACATTTGTTTTAACAAATTGTCATTTATTTGGCATTTGAGAGGCTTTTTGTAATTTGTTTTTCATTTTGTATATTTTAACATCTGATTTTAATTGAATCGAATTCTCAAGTCATTATCTGGATGCCCACTTATGGAGTTGTGGCGGGGATTATCCTTGAAGCCCAGACTGTCCCAGAATGGGCCAGCCAAGCCCCTGGGCCCCTCAAGCTCTGAGGCACTGGGAAGCTCCCTCTAGTCATCCTACATAGGAAGAATTTCTCTGCTTTGAGTACCTATAGGCTTTGGTAATCACCTGGAGCAAATTTCGTTTTCCAGCTTGTATTTAGGCATTTCTATGGATAGCTGTCTCAACTCTGTTATTAGATTCCAAGCTTTTTGAGGGTAAAAATTCTGTCTTACTCATTTTATCTCCTCCATAATTGCTTGCATATATTAGGCTCTTAGTGTTTATGGAGTCTCAGGTCCAGTGTCATCTCTTATACCTGCAGCGTGTCCTAGCTGCCTAATAAATGGTTGTTTCCTTCCTTCCTTCCTTTCCTGGCCATATTTGTTGGCGCTGGTCCCTGCCTCAGAACTTTCTTAGCATTTACTTTGTATCTACTTAATGTATGTTGTTCTCTTCCAACAGAGTCTAAGCTCCTTGAGGGCAGGGTCAGTTTCATTTTTGTCTTTGTATCCCCAGAAGCTAGCATGGTGACTTGCCCTTGGCAGGTACTTGATAAATTCTGGTTGAATTGAATAGTAATCTGCTGTTGGGGATAGAGATATTAGAAAGACACTCACAGTAATGATGGCAATGATAGTGATAGCAATACAGTGATTTCCACCCATCTGTGAGCAGGGATGTTTTAGTAGCAGCCCTGGGTGCCTGGATAATCCTCATTATTCCCTGGGGTGATGGCCCAGTGCCCCTGGAGGCACCTTCTGAATCATCAAGAGGCAGGACCCACGCACTGCCTGGTCTTAATACAAAATTTATCTAAGGCATTTGGATTCCTTAAAAACTAGTGATAGATGGCTTTGTGGCCTCCCTGTCTGAACGGGTGGGTTTGCTGAACTATTCCTGGCCCTTCTAAGTCATAGACTTGCCTGTTGTTGCAGTGAACTTAATGGCTGTCCTCAAAGAAATAATGTGTTTTTTTTTCTCCACCAGGGAGGTAAAAATGACTCTTTCCCAAGCCCTGAAGTTGAATCCCCCGCATCCCCCACCCCCCACAACCACTCCCTGCAGTGAAGGCCTTTGGTCAGTCCAGTATCCGTAAGGAGCGTTTAGCCTCCGCTCCACCCTGGCTGTGAGCAGTTCTGGTCACCCACATTCCCACCCTTGGGATCCCAACACTGGCCCTTCACTGGTCTCAGCACCCTAGCTGGCATCACTTCCTCCTCAGAGCCTTGGCCCTGGCCACCTGCATCCCTTGGCATAGGGCTGCTCTGTTCCCTCATTCTTAGTAAGTGTAGTGGAACAGGTGTCTATCCCCCTTCCTCTTCAGCAGCCCTGCCTGCCTGACTCGGGCCTGGCTTTCTCCGCAGGTGGTGACGTTTGACAGTGGCGGAGTGAGCGGTCATGCCAACCACGTTGCCCTTTATTCCGCAGTAAGGTAGGATATGGCGGCGCTTCCTGCAATGTCTCCATCATTTCTAGAATTGACCAGAGCCAGGAGCCATGTGTGCTGGGCAGGGGATGTTGAACAAACTAGGGGAAGAGGAAGGATGGGGGAGGGGAGGGCACTTCCTGCAATGTTTCCTACCAACCAAAACAAGGAACCACCTGTGCTGGCAGGGGGAGGGGACCCAAAAGCCTCTCCTCTTATGAGTAGGCAGGTCTAACCACAACCAACAACAACAGTAGTGCCTTGGAAACCCAATGCCATCTTTCCCCCAAAGATCTCAGTGCTTTTTTGCCCACAGCATCCAACTTATCTTTACTCCATCCTTTTTGGGGGGTGGGGAAGAGTACTATGTCTGGGATTTCATCAGTGTGGGGAACTCCCAGTGAGAAAACTCCCACTACCAAGGCACAATCCCCCCCCACCCCACTCTACAACCAGTAATCTTAGAGAGTTTCCTGGACCCTGAGAGGTAGGTTAAGTGAACTGCCCAGTGTCACCCAGTCAGTAGAGGATGTGCTAAAGGTGGACCTTGTACCCAGCGCTTCCTGACTCTGAGAAGGACCCTCTTTACACACACCTCTATTACCTCTTAAGAGGTCGGGAATCATAGGAGTCAGAATTCCAGATAATTGGAGAGCTTTTTACAGTTTCCCCAAAACACCCATTAGTACACATGATCTCCTTAGACTTTTGCAACATGCCTCTGACAAGGCAGTATAGGGATTATGATCTTGATTTTATGGAGCTTGAAATTTGGAGAAATCACGTGATCTAACCAGGGTCTTCTGGTTAGGAAGTGGCCAAATGAAGACTATACCCCAAGTCTTCTCAGTTCTATGTCAGGGCTCCTTCCTCTACAAATGGGCAGAACTTAAGATATTATTCTCTCTCTCTCCCTATCCCTCTCTCTATATAGTTATATATTATATATATATTTCTATGTAGTTTTATATTACACATTTGCATATTGTATACATAATAAGTTGATATCGATTATATCATATTTATATATTATATGCATATGTTATTGAAAGAGTAAATTTTTTAGTAAATAATCTTTTCTAAAAGCTATTTAAGTATGACTGGAAAATTGTTAATGTGAAGTACATTGATGGGGGTCAAGACCCATAGTACTGAAATCCAAACCCGTAGGATTATTCCTAAAACCCTAAGTAGTTCTAGTCAACTGACTCTCTGGGGACAGAATCTGCTCAGATAGATAGACAGACAGATAGATAGATAGATAGATAGATAGATAGATAGATAGATAGATAGA